AGGATTGCGCACGTGCTGTATGCGTCCTACGCATGCGTGGAAGCGCAGAACTCGTCAAAACTGGGTAAGGAATATGGGCGGGCGGGTGGGCCCTTCGCCGTTCCCGGAAGTTGCTTACTTCCGGGTTCGCTGACCAACCGGTTCACGGGGACCGCCGCGAACCAGTTGAAACCCACCCCTGGTGTGGGGACAAGATCATGAACTTTTAACTGGGTGGAATTCTGATGTCATTTCCAGTATTGGGATTAAGACAGATGTGCTAAGATGTCTGCTTTATTAAATTGGAACTTTAAGGATCGTTTTGCCTTTGATTCTGATTTAATTCTACATGATACTTGGAACGCTGACAGTTGCATTTTGCCTAAGTTTGCATTTTTTAATTTAAAGTATTGAATAACCCAATGGATGGACACCATCAAAGCTGATACCAGGCAGAGTATAGAAAAATTGAAAGAAGGAGACTCAAAGGTGCTTTTTCAGGAGGCAAATGGACTTTTGTTTGTTTTTCCTTGAAGAAGTTTCGCTTCTCATCCAAGAAGCTTCTTCAGTTCTTCAGAACTGAAGAAGCTTCTTGGATGGAAGCGAAACATCTTCAAAGAAAAACAAAGTAAGTCCAGGTGACCTCAACAACCCTCTAAAAAAGATGAAGCTGTCTGCAAGGAGTATAAATCCTTCCATTCTCCCACCCTCCAGTCAGAGCTGAAGAAGCTTCTTGGATGAGAAGTGAAACATCTTCAAGAAAAAACCAGAAATGCCTATTGCCTCATGAAAAAGCACTTTTGGGATTTAGGGAACCAATAATAGTTTGAAAGAGGGGTCAAATATGTGTCAAAACTGAAGATCCCTCTCTTGACAGAGGTGGAGGGATACGACCTCATCTATCTCCAGTCTGCAACACAGTCCTTTCAATAGTTCCAAGAAGGCTCCACACACCCATTTGCACCACTCAGGTGACTCTGAAGACACAGATAAACCCCCAAGTGGCCTCAATGACTCTCTAAAAAGATGTAAATGACCAGCTTTGTCTGCAAGGAGTATAAATCCTTCTAGTCCCCACCATCCAGTCAGAGCTGAAGAAGCTTCTTGGATGAGAAGAGAAACATGTTCAAGGAAAAACAAACAAAGCTCCAAGTGGCCTCAATGACTCTCTAAAAAGGATGCAAATGACCAGCTGTCAGCAAGGAGTATAAATCCTTCTATTCTCCCACCATCCAGTCAGAGCTGAAGAAGCTTCTTGGATGAGAAGCCAAACACCTTCAAGGAAAAACCAGAAAGTCCTGTTGCCTTTTGAAAAAAAAGACACTTGGGACAAAGAAAATCCAGTTGCTTCTTTAAAAAGCACCTTTGGGTCAACCATGACCTGGGGGACTGAGAATCTCCAGAGACATCAAAGAAGTAGTGCAAGATTGGAAGATATAGAGAGACCTGGCCCATGGAATCACCAAAAGTTGGACACAATTGAATGGATAACAACATCTTCATCATCACCTGTTATATTTATATTCCCAGTTGCAATGGGGGGATGTGAAGGTTGGACCGTAAGGAAGGCTGAACACCAAAGGATGGAGGCCTTTGAACTCTGGTGCTGGAGAAGACTCCTCTGAGTCCCTTGGACTACAAGGAGATCCAACCGGTCAGTCCTAGAGGAGATCAAACCTGACTACTCTTTAGAAGGCCAGACCCTGAAGAGGAAACTCAAGTACTTTGGCCACCTCATGAGAAGGAAGGACTCACTGGAGAAGAGCTTAATGCTGGG